CACTACTGACCTAAATCCTTGGCCCTGATGCTTTTAATTCTTTTGGGAAGATATCAAGAAGGGGAATGGCTGGGTCAAATGGGACCTCTAGTGCTAATTTCTTGAGGAATCTCTGCACCACTTTTCATAGTGGTTGCACCAGTGTAGCTCCCACCAACAGTGAAGGTTCCTTTTTCCTCACAGCCCCACCAGCATTTGTTATTGGTTGACTTCTTGATGACAGCCATTCTTTCTGTGAGGAGATAGAATCTCAGCGTTGTTTTAATTTGTGACTTTCAAATGACTGATGATGTTGAACATTTTTTCATATATTTATTTGCCATTTGTACTTCTTCATCCAAGATATACACATTCATCTCATACGCCCCTTTTTGGATCGGGTCTTTAAGATTGAGGGAGTCTGATTCAACATCATTGTTCAGGGAATGCATGGTAGAAGTTTTTCCCATACTTTAGTCTGTTGGTGGTTTTTCTTGCTGAATAAAAAGCTTTTTACTGAGATGAAATCCCAGTTGTTGATTTTTGTGATACTTCCTTTGTGAACAGGGTTTTATTCACTCTTTGCCTACAACAGTGTCTTCAAGAATATTACCTAGTCTGTCTTCCAGCAGATTTAGTGTTTCTATTTTAATACTTAAATCTTCAATCCATTTTGATTTTAGTTTAGTACATAGTGGATGATAACAGGTTTCGTTTTAATGTTTGACATGTGGCTAGCCAGTTTTTCCAGCAGCATGTGTTAGAGAGGCTGTCTTTCTTCTAGTAAAGGTGTTTGGCTTCTTTGTCAAAGATAAGGTGGCTGAGTATGTCTGGAGTTGTTTCTGTCTTCTAATCTGTTCTGTTCCATTGATCTTTTTTTGCTGTTGCTGTTCTTTTTGGTCAGTACTATGCTGTTTTTATCACAGAATCTTAGGGCCTGGGAGATGGCTCAGTGGAATAAGCACTTCCCTGGTAAGTGCAAGGGCCTGAGTTCAATCCCCGGTTCCGAAAAAAAAAAAAAAATTATCACAGAATCTTTATAGTATAATTTCAGGTTATGGATTATGATCCCTCTTCCCCACCTTGCCTTTTTGCCCAGAATTGCTTTTTCTGTAACAATTTTGGAAGTATGGCCATTTTCACTGTTGTTTCTTCCTACCCAAGAAGAGAGGCTATTTTTTAATTTTCTGATATTCTCTTCAGTAGTTTTCACAATACTGCAGTTTTCAATGTAGTAGTATTTTACTTTGTTAGATTGATGCCTATGTTTATTGTTTTGGATGCTGATAATGAAAGTCATAGTTTCCCTAATTTGTTTCTCGGGAAGTTTATGACTTGTGTACAGGAAGGCTACTGAGTTTTGAGAGTTGACTTTATATCCAGCTACACTACTGAATTTGGTTATTCAAGTCTTTCGCTGGAGACCTTGGAGTCTTCTATGTAGAGTATTGACTTTCAGATGACCAATGATGTTGAACATTTTTTCATATATTTATTTGCCATTTGTACTTCTTCATCCAAGATATACACATTCATCCTCAAATAATGATGACTTCCTCCTTTCCTGTTGTTATCCCTTCTATGTATTTCTCTTGTCTAATTATCTGGCTAAAATTCCCAAAACTATATTGAGTAAGTGGTAACAGTGGACATCCTTGTCTTGTTCCTAGAAATCAGCATACTTGTAGGAAGAATTCAGATGCAGGAGGACAGTCTGTAAATTAAGGGAAACATTTAATAAACATAGTTATTTCTCCCCTTAGGAGTTGGCCGAGGAAAAGACATCTCCACCATCACAGGTCACCGTGGAAAAGACATCTCTACTATCTTAGATGAAGAAAGAAAAGAAAACAAACGACCTCAGAGGGCAGCTGCTGCTCGAAGGAAGAAACGCCGGCGTCTAAATGACCTAGACAGTGACAGCAACCTGGATGAAGAAGAGAGTGAAGATGAATTCAAGATTAGTGATGGGTATATGGTCTGCCATTGGCTCTTGTTTTTTTTTTCTGACCCTGGCCTTTGGGATATATAGTTCAGTCTGACCATAAATTCATGGGACTCCTCCTTTCTCAGCCTCCTGAAGGCTGGGATTACAGATGTGCACCAACACACCCAGAATGACCTTGTTTTCTAGATACTGTTTTCAGAAGAGCTGAAGGAGAAAGGCTTGACCATACTGCAATAGGTCTTTTGCTTTTGGTGTACATTAGACAATCTCTTGTTTTTTAGGGTATTTAAAGCAGATTCAGAACGCTGATTCTGGTTCTTGTTTACAGCAAAATAAAAACTTAGGTTATGGTTGCTTCAGTATTTAGTCATAGCTGGGCATGGTGGCACACACCTGTACTCCCAGCACTCTGTGGAGCTGAGAGGAAAACTGCAAGTTCACTGGGGAATTATACAGCTTGAAATCCCTGTCACAAAACATAAAGAGCTGGGGATACAGCTCATTGCAGAGGCCCTGGGGGGTCATTCCCCATTACCACCAACAGAAAAATTCAGAAGTAATACCCACGCATAATGTTACACACCTATAATCCCTGCAACCTGGATGACTGAAGCGGAAACATTACAAGTTTGAGCCTATTCCGGGCAACATGGTAACTTGGCTAGATCGTGTCACAAAGCAAAAAATAAAAAAAGGGCTGGCAATGTAACCGAGTATGAAGGCCCTGGGTTCTATTGGGCAACAAAATAATGTCCTGTTGGAGATGTAGCCAAGACTATAAAAATGAAAACAATTACGGCATGTTTTATTTGTCATGCTTCACAATTTTGGCTTTTTCCTGAAGTTTGAACTGAACTGTTGAAAAATGTGTTTTTTGGTTCTAATGCGTCATTATAATGTTTTTTGTTTTTTGTTGTTTTTTTTTTTCCTGAGACAGATCTCAAGATGAATTTGTTGTATCTGATGAAAACCTAGATGAAAGTGAAGAAGATCCACCATCTAATGATGACAGTGACACTGACTTCTGTAGCCGCAGACTACGGCGACACCCCTCTCGGCCAATGAGGCAGAGCAGGCGTTTGCGCAGAAAGACCCCAAAGAAGAAGTACTCAGATGATGATGAGGAGGAAGAGTCCGAGGAGAATAGCAGAGACTCTGGTAATAATCCCTTGTACCCATTTTACCCTAAGTCATTGAAGTGGATGATTTCTAGAATTAATGAGTTTATAAAGTCTGTCAATTGTAATAAGCATTGTGATACAACTTGGAGACCTTATGACTTATTATTAACTATTTTTTCATAGAGTACACTGAGAAAATACATAGATGTGTTAATTTATATAAAATTCATTTAGGATTGTGGTGAATCCCTTTGATACTGTTCCCATGCCTAACTTTTATCTTTGTAACAAAACTTAATAGTGAGAAGCATTCAATATCTGAAAAAGTGTGCCTTATGTAATTGGCAGATAGGCAGCTGTCGTCTTATGTAAGAAGTGCTATAAACATGAGTACAGTCTCTTACTCTGGCCATACTCTATGGGTTTCCTTTTATATATGGGTTTCCTTTTATATTTTTCTAAATCTTTTGAATTAATGGTGAAGTCATACCTTTTAATTAATGATTCTTTCAAAAAATATTTCCTTATATAACCCACAGTAACTTTACCTAAATCAAAGATTTTAACAAAATTGTTTGTTCAGATATAATTGAGTATTCCTGTATTCCCTATTGTTTTCCTAATCCAGAATGTAACCTAGAGTTACACATTCCATTTATTCATGTCTCTTTAGTTTTTTTTTTTTTTTTTTTAAGCAGAAGACGGCATACGAGATGTTGCGGCGTGACTGGAGTTCAGACGTGTGCTCTTCCGATCATTCAGATCTGAGGGCTGTCTTCAAACTATTAAACAGTAGTAAAAAGGAAGATTAATTTTTTTTTTTTTTTTTTGCGGAACTAAAGATTGAACTCGAGCCCTTGTGCTTCCAGGGAAGCACTTATTCTACGGAGCCATCTCCCCAGCCCCCTATTTAGTCTTCTTTAATCAAATTTTATTTTACTAATCTTGACTTATGTATAGAGCACTGGGGATTAAACCCAGTATTTCATATATGTGAGGCAAGTGCTCTGCTACTGAGCTGTATTCCTTACTCCATTTTATTTTAAGCCACATTCCCAGGCATCCTATGTTTTGGACATAACAGAAAATACTTGGTATCTTTACTTCTGCTACTATGGCTATCCCAGTGTCCTGAAATGATTCAAAGTGTTTCCTTTTCATGGTCATTTTGACTTCATAAAAGGAACAGGACACTCCAGGATGTTGTTATGAGCCTGCCTTTCCCATGGATGGCATGTGTCAGCAGTATTTTCTCTATTTTTGTTTGCACCACTGAAAAACACTCAGAAAAGAGAACCTCCAAAACTGCTTCAGAAAGTGGCAAGAATGGGCTGTGATTGAAGTGAGAGAATTTTGAGAGGAATGAATGTGCTTTTACCATAATAATTTTTAAATTTAAATAATCACTATGTTGATTATACCTTGAATTTTTCAACTTGTTATACTTTATTTACTGGTCATTGTTCTATAAGAAACATTTTTCCTTTTTTATTTCTTTATATTAGCATATACTTGGGGTTCTTTTTTTTTTCCCGTGGATAATACTATGTTACCATCACTTTGGATTTGGTTTATGCAAGATTTGGCCTGTAAAACCACTTTAAACTAATAGCCAGCTCCTTTGAAATTCTTTGGAGAATAAGAAGGTAGAATGTAATAATTATTTGTAATTTGTAAACACTTCTGAAAAACAGCTCTTAGATAAAAGCTATAGTATCATTCTGTTTTATTGATCAGGGTTACAGCAGTGCTATTTACCAATACTTTAAATGGTAAGTATTGTGTGCTTTACTTAACAGATTTTTTTATTCCACATGGAGAGGAGTAAACATTGCAACTCTTAATTTTGTGTATCTATGAAATATGTAGATTTATGAGTTCTCTTTGGTTAAAGGGTTATATTAGTAGAAGAGCAGCACAAATAGGAATAGCACATTATCTGGAGGAAAGTTCTGGTGACTGCCCACCAATAAGAGTTGTGTCAGGTATGTCCCTGCCCCAGTAGCTCTAGAGTAAATATTAAAACTTTTTTGTGTGTTGCTAAGGATCAAGCCAAAGGTACATACTAGGGAAGAGTTGTATCACTGACCTACACACTAGTTTCCCCCTTAAAACATTTCCTTATTTTGGGAATTAACTGTTAATAGTATGTTTATGAGGTTTGGCATTAAAGACTCCCACAAATTGTTAAAAAGACAAGATTTTTAATAGTTTTTTTTTGTTTTTTTTTTATTTGAGAGAGAGAGAGAGAGAGAGAGAGAGAGAGAGAGAGAGAGAGAGAGAGAGTGTGGTGTGTGTGTGTGGCCAGCTCAGCCCACCAGGGGGC